GGTTAAAATTAAAAGGGAGCTAAAAAATTTAAGATTTGGTAAGATTTGTCTAATATCTTGGTACTCGCTCTTGTTGGATATGAGATGATTATAGCCTCACGTAGCACCTCATTGGCTATCTATCATCTCATATCCAATGCGTGCTCGTGGAATAATTGTTAAATATATATAAGGTGTATTTACTCATTATGTTAGCTTTCATGAGGTTTAATACTAAATGTGTCAGGTGTATTTACTCATGTTAGCTTGCATGAGGTTTAATACTAAATGTGCCAGATGTTTATCGGTGATGTTTTCTTTTCGCAGAGGGAGTAAGTCAACATTTGGCCAGTGATAATGGTGTGGTGGAAATCCTCCTGAAGCATGCAACAAATGATGAGCTAAGCAAAGATGTCAAACAGAATGCTGCCATTTGTTTAGCAAAACTTGCAACATCAGACAAAAGGTACAAAAGGCAAAGAGTATTTCTTGTATTGTGCATTATGAAATGTTTAGTCATTTTACATTGTGTGGTTGGTTATATCTTACAAATATTCTTTTTTATTTTGCAGGCATCTTGAAAAGCTGAAAGAAATGCACGGACTTGAAATTCTTCACTCTGTTATCCAGAACACGAACCTCAGCTGATATGATAAGGACAGAATCTTAAATTGCTAAAATGATAATAAGCTTTCTTAAGCCTGGTATTTGATCTTCCTTGGAAGGGAAAGAGCAAGGCTTGATTTTGGATACAACAACTGGTTATCAAGCCTACAACAACAACAACAACAACAGCAGCTACAGTGACAGCAATACTTCACTGAAAATAGTGAAGGAATTTTGTACTGTTTGTAAACATATACTTATTCGTCACTCTTTAAGGATATAAGCAGTGAAACCTCAACTGCAGAGACCACAAACTTAGCTTGTTCTGTGGTGGTGGAACTGTGCCCTTTAGATGTCATCAAATAACCTGCTTGCAGTTTTAATCCAGTATGTACTATTTATTTTTAAAAGGTGTGTAATAAACCAAACATATTTAAGTTTGAAGTAGGTGAAAGTTTTAGTGTGATTTAACCATTTCATTGCCTACATTCAAAGATCAATTTTCTGCACTGTCAGCCAAGCATTTCATATCATATCAACAATTTGTTATTAACATTAAACGGTATTTTTAGGTTTACATTTTCTATCTTTTCTTCAGGGCATATTTGTATTACCCATTTGTTATATGCTAATGAGTTTTGACTAAATGCTAATGAGAAAAACAATTAAGAACAGTTGTAAACAGTTGACTCACTTGTGCATGTCCATATATATTGGGTCATACTTGTGAGAAAATTACAGGAATGTTGGAATGTACAGGACTGTTCAAACATATTTTTTTCAGCCTAGAACATCCTGCTAAGCTAAAATGTCATGGATGTACATACATACATGTGGTGCTCTTGAATGTACTTGCCTTTTTTGCTTATTTTTGCAATGGAAATCATTACACTTCATAGCATTGGTTGATTGAATAAATGTTCTTGTCATTTTCATATAACAAACAGTTAATCAGCATATAACAAAATGGTTCACTAGCATATAACAAACAGTTCATTAGCATATAACAAACAGTTAATAAGCATGTAACAAATTGTTCAGTAGCAGATCTTGAATACTTCATTAGCATACAATGAATGATTCATTAGCATATAACAAACACTTCATTGGCATATAATTAGCATATAATGAATGGTTCATTAGCACATAACAATATATACTGAACAGGTTATACAAAATTTACTACATTACCTTTTTATTTCAGTGTTGATGTTGTAAGAAAAAAATAACTGACTGGTTACTCTGAGGGAACAAGAGACAAGGAGTTGTTCTAATAACAGTATGATTTTTACTGAAAAAAAAACATTCATACAATTGCTTTATTTTCAGAAAGTTCATCGTACAAAACAACTGTGAGGAACTGTCAAAATTTGGTCTGTTCTGACTTTCTGTGATGATTTTTTTCATGTCAATTATTAACAAGTAACAACATGATTTCTTGTGCAACCTGGTGTAAATAAGCACCTGTAATTTTTCATAAACTAAAAATTACCCTCACCCTATGGGCTCATGCAATTTTTTTGTCTCTGGAAAATTTACTTGAGCCTATTAACAACAAATTGCACTCAAAATCATGTTATTACCTATACTTATTATCCAACTGAGCTTTGTAGAGTACAAATAACGCGAAAGACGAGTACAAATATCACACAATATTTGTACTCCAGAAATATCTGCAAAATTCAACTGGACTGAAATGACAATTTGGCATTTTGGATGATAAATCTCTTATTAGATGTTTTATGGTGTACTATCGTTGAGTATTTTTACTCTACACAACAAACACCTAAAATAAGATATAATTATTGCAACATTCTGGACAATGTACTGCACATATAGGTACTTGGCATGTCAAACAGTTTGTATAACTTAATATGTATATTCATTGTGGTAAAGTCTATTAAACAGGTATCAACTGCAGTGACCAGACCAAGGAAAATTTAAAGTAAAAGTGAAATACCATGCCCTTACTGGGGGCGTAGCAGTGATACACAAACTGCCAAATGTGCACCCCAAACTGCCAAATGCGCACCCCAAACTGCCAAATGTGCACCGCCAAATGCGCACCCCAAACTGCCAAATGTGCACCCCAAACTGCCAAATGCACACCCCAAACTGCCAAATGTGCACCACCAAATGTGCACCCCAAACTGCCAAATGCGCACCCCAAACTCTTACATGCGCAACCCAAACTGCCAAATGCACACCCCAAACTGCCAAATGTGCACCACCAAATGCGCACCCCAAACTGCCAAATGTGCACCCCAAACTGCCAAATGCGCACCCCAAACTGCCAAATGCGCACCCCAAACTGCCAAATGCACACCCCAAACTGCCAAATGCGCACCCCAAACCGCCAAATGTGCACCCCAAACTGCCAAATGCGCACCCCAAACTGCCAAATGTGCACCCCAAACTGCCAAATGCGTACCCCAGGTCAGAAAAGTGGTGTTCCTTTCAATTTGCTGATGCTCTGGCTGAGATGAACAGTTGACCTCTTCGTAACTTTTTTAACACAGCTGGGTTTAATAAATGGACAATTTTTGCTTGACTGTAAATGGCATACTTTTTATTTGTTGATAACTTGTTGTTTCACCAACCAACTTTCAAAAAGTTGCATCTATTTCACTGGTACAATATGGCAACTGAAAGTAAATTCAATATCTTTTAATGATGAGTAATGCTGTATAAATACAAAAGAATCTTGGATACATCTTATGTAACTGATGTTGTATATACAAGTGTAAACAGACAAAAAATATTCTGAAGTCTAGGTTTACAATACAGACAAATTTAATATGAAAAATTAATGTAAAAAAAATAGAAAAAAAAAAATATCAGATGCTCCTCTTACCCTAAAAGCCCTTGTCCACTCCATATGTTTGGGGTAAGAGATATTATCTGTGATTTCTCTCCTCTTTTGACAGTTACACTCATTGGCCTCTGTAGATCATATTAAAAATTAATTTATTAGATGCAGACATTGTACAAACATCTTTGAAAGGATATTTAAGGGACAAGTGAACAATGTCATCAAACTTTTTATTTACCACTCCCAAGGAATTTATTAAATACTTGGGAGTGCTTATTGATGAAACTCTTTCATGGGGTCACCATATTGCTCATATTGCATCCAAAATAAGAAAATCAATTGGCGTTATCTCCAGATTAAGACACTTTGTACCCCTTAGTACTCTAAACCGCATTTACAGGTCACTTATCCAACCCTATTTGTTGCATGGTATAGTTGCATGGGGTCAAGCTGCAAAAATTCATAGAGATAAAATTCTAATCCTTCAAAATGAGCCCTTCGCTTAATGTACTTTGGTGACTACAGATCTCATGCAATCCCGTTTTTTGTTTCTTCTCGTTTTCTTCCTTTGGATATGCTTTACTTTAAATCAGTTGCCATCATGATGCATGACATATCCAATAATTTGTCACCTTCTAACATATCTAACTTATTCACTTATCAAGCTAATATTCATCCCCATAAGACAAGATCATCTTCAAGAGGAGACTATTTTGTTGAAAGTTCAAGATTAGATCTACAAAAAAGGGCATTTTCAAGAAATGGTGATAGAATCTGGAATAGCTTGTCTTGTGAAGTGCGCCAGCTATCAAAATACAACTGTAAGAGTAAAATTCATGATTTCGTCCTCCAGAGACTTGAAAAATATGACGATTATATTGCTTTGTCTGCTTTAATAGTACAACTATAAGACCCCAGCTTGTTCTGTTTTCTTGCCGTATCTTAAATGTATTAATGTAGTTGTAATTTGTCTAGAATTTTGAATCTCTTGCTCTGTAAACCTTTTTATTTTATTATAATATACGTATTAAACACTGCCCGCCTCAACTAGCCTTTGCTAACTGCGGGCAGTGCATATTAATTTTTTATAATATTGTAATATATCATTGTAATATATCATTAATATATATCATTACCCCTTTGCTATGCTGTACAACAGAAGCAATATCTACAAGGCTGTGAAAGTTTCCAGCATTGATGGAACCAAATTTTAAGATGTAATCGCCAACTTTCAATCCCTACAAAGAGAGAAAGTAAGAATTAATCAGTCTGTCATTTGCCTGACAGTTCACAGAAAAATAATCCTAGCTGTAAGGTGAGCAGAGAGAATGGACTACTTACAGCTTGGGATGAAGGTGATCCATCAGCTACTGAATCTACTCTGAGAAATGCTTTTAGTTTGGTTGAAATATCTGAAAAAAATATCCATGTATTAAAGTGTTCATGGATGGTTATGTACCTTTTTCTTTTAAGTCCTGAAAAAAAGTCTTAAAAATGCAAAACGAATGCAGAATGACCAGCCACTTATTGACATGTCAGTGAAAAAGAGTAGTGTCTATTGTGTTATGGCTCGTTCTTCAAACAGGGTTCGTACACTTTTGATCTGTTAAAATTCCATGACTTTCCAAGACTTTTTCCATGACCATTTGAAAGATTCAATGACCTGTTTGCAAACATTCTCATAATGCGTGCTTCTGTTTATTTCTGATGAAATTAAATCTGATTTTTGGACTTGTCAGTTAATTTTTCAACTTTGGGTCTTATTGCCTTTCACTCATAGAGAGCATATTGATTTTCCATGACTTTCCATGACCCACACCTAAATTTCATGACTTTCCAGGCCTGGAAAATGAAATTTTGAAATTCCACAACTTTCCAGGTTTTCCATGACCTATATGAACCCTGTTCAAAGCCTCCTGACACATGATATGAGGTAGACCAAAGTGGCCGGGTATTCTGAAGTTGCTCCATCATGAGAATGAAGGAAATGATCACCAACTAAAGAAGCTCTTGACTTTTAAACAAATTCTCTTTGTCAGCACCTCAGGAAATTGTATAGAGAGGAGTATGGAAACTATAGATACCAACACTTTTTTTTAGTCTAAGGCATGGGTTGCACTTGGAAAAGTTTGGTGTGAATGTGGTCACTTTGGTGTAAAAATCTGTCATCAGGGCACATTGCCTAATGCGACCCTAACTTGTCCAGTTTGCAAAAACTTTGAAAATGGGCCATAACATCAAAGATGCTGTAGTGCTTGGGTGGGGCAGGCAGATTTTGGAAAACTTGGGCTAAACAATAGCTATCACAGCAGTAACTGTCATCGCTTGTCAGTAAACAGCAAACGACTTGACTGGTCACCGAACTGAGCAGACATATGGCGCTCGAAGTAATCTTCGTTGATGTCAATTTCTCGCTCTCATCATAGTGGGAGTCAAAACAGTTAAACAGGCCTTAACCCATCTTTCATAGATCATACAAAAGACAAAAAAGTGCTCATGATTTAACTCAATAAGAAGAATAAGCATCACCGTGATCGTTATTAACAATGCTTCAACGGGATGCATTTTTTTAACGTTTGCTTTCCTTTTTCAGCTCACTGCTCTCTCCCCATAACACATCGATAAATGTATGTCTGGTTTATCAAAGTGTCATCACTGACATTTTTTTCGCCTAGTGCGACCCTGATAGTTGAAACCAAAAGTTTGCTTTCCAGTTGCGGTTTCAAACTTTCTGTGTTTTTTTTTGCTGGCAAAGTTGAAAACTTTGCTCAAGTGTGACCCATACCTAAGTATGTAAAGAGGTAAACGATTGAGCCTTTCTACCTTCCATTTCCTGGTCTTGTTGAGTTTCTTTTTTATCTCTTTGTTCTCGTGCTTGAGCATGTACTTCATGAATACCTTCTTCTATTTCTTTCATCAGCGCCTTGTGGTCATTCTGAAGACCTATTTGTGGTTATGAAAACTGTCAAGTTACATGAGTCAGCAAAATTTCGGCTGAAATTTCATTTCTTAATCGTACGTAACGTGCTAGTCACGATCGTCGGAATTATGTTCCGTAAAAGTCCGAGAAAATTACACAAAAATGTACATTTCTTACATATGATTCGATTTCTTGCGACTCGTACGGTATAGACATCAATGTCTGAACGAGGGTAATTTTCTTCGTCAATCAACTTTTCGTTCATCCCAACTCCCTTTTGCTGAAAAAACAATATAGACGAAATTTACTTATGGTGCCACTTTTATGTCCAATCAGACTCAAGAGGGCTTACTGAGTCTAAGACGTCCTGAAACTCCTTAATTTCCTGTTCAATTGCATCTTTTTTTGTAATCAGATCTTTCACCTTCTTCATAGAGACATCCGCCATCTTGAAAATAAAAAGTCAGCTGTTGGCTACGCGGGCTCAAAAAAGTATATCATGAAATCGAGGCATATTTCCCCAGAACTGAAAAACATGGCAACTAGAGAGTTTGATGTCGAATTCACTTCATAAAAAGATTTCATGTTAGAGACCCAAGATTAGGGAATGGAGAGTGAAGGACGCCGTGGCGCTGATTTCACTGGTGACAATGCTTCTATGGGTTATATGTTAACTGTAGGAGTTATGGAAGAAGTTCTCGAGAAACTAAAATTGCTTGACTACGAGACGGACTTCTGCAAACAGATGGGATTCAGACCTTTGTCAAGGTAACAGTTGGTGAAATATGACACAAATCTCGCAATTTTGGTTGTCTTAAGATGATATGAAAACTATCCATGATGACAGAGGTTGCCTCTGTCAAGAGCAACAAACTTCTGATGAAGAGCTCTTTTAACATATATTCTGTCATATGTAAAGATGTCTTTTGGCTCCCATTTGACCGCGACTCACCAAGTTACAGTTTGTAATTTATTGCTTTTAATCAATTGTTTTTAGGCACTACTTTGCAGTGGCAAATAACCCAGGGGAGCAGTTTTTTACCTTCACATCATTAGCAGCTTGGTTGTTCACATGTTGTGGCAGAAACTTTGAGCAACCTCAAGAGGTTTGTAATGGTATCCGGTCAATTTACCACCACAACAAACTGGCCACCACAAAACTCGCCACTACTCAGTCAAATCGCCACTGGTGTAGTCTCTTGTGTGAAACCTTCGTCAAATGAAAGCTAATATGTAGTAGTACTTTGCATAAAGGGAAAGGGACTCACAAGTTAGGTGAAGCCTCTCAACAATGGAACATTAAACAAAATAAAACATGTTGGTATCACAAAGATCATGATCAGTTTGTGAATAGCAATTTGAGTCAAAGAGCATGTTTATATGCATGATGCAACACTCTGGTTTAGCTGTTTGCAGACTGATTATAATCTTCATGATGTCAACATGTTTTATGTTGTTTAACATTCCATTATTGAGATGCTACACCTGACGTCTGAGTCCCTTTCCCTTTTCACAATGTACTACTACATATTAGCTTTCATTTGAAATAAGTTTCACACAAAAGGCTACAAGTAATAATAATAATAATATTGTAAGAAATATACAACTTTTTTTAGAGACATGTTTCGGCACATCTTCAATCAATGAGTAACTGAATGTGAGTAATTATATAACAGACAAGTATTCATCCACTTGTCTGTTATATAATTACTCACATTCAGTTACTCATTGATTGAAGATGGCATAAGCATGCCAAAACATGTCTCTAAAAAAAGTTGTATATTTCTTACAATATTATTATTATTATTACTTGTAGCCTTTTGTGTGAAACTTATTTCAAATGAAAGCTAATATGTAGTAGTACATTGTGAAAAGGGAAAGGGACTCAGACGTCAGGTGTAGCATCTCAATAATGGAATGTTAAACAACATAAAACATGTTGACATCATGAAGATTATAATCAGTCTGCAAACAGCTAAACCAGAGTGTTGCATCATGCATATAAACATGCTCTTTGACTCAAATTGCTATTCACAAACTGATCATGATCTTTGTGATACCAACATGTTTTATTTTGTTTAATGTTCCATTGTTGAGAGGCT